GTGTAAACTCACCGAATAGGTTCAATGTAGCATGATAGTAAGTTGAAGCTAACCCGTTGAATGTAAGTAACAGTTGTGGAACAAGTAATCCACTATTTACCTAAACAAACATTTTTTGCTCCCAACTGATTTGATTTATAGTCAATAGCATAGTTTGGACTGTTGGACTATGAACACTAGAACAACACTCGAAATACGGTTCCGTAGATGTTTACACAAGGCTCAAAGTGGGTTTTTTCACGTTTTTGTCACTCTTTCGATGTATATAAGAACAAAGATTATAGTGAAAGGCTGAAAGGTGAAAACTTACCTCCCGAATGTATTTGCGTAACATCATAGCATTGAGTAGCGGCAATACAATGATTGGGAGATTTGTCATCTAAAAATATTTAGAATTTTTTTATTTTTCTGCAGGAAATGTCGAGGAAAATATTAACAAAAGTTTACTGCCATCATGGATTAATGATTTCAAACATATTATTTTCTAGGTTTTCTGCCTTTTCCTGATAATTAAATAATTTTTGAGTCTAAAAATATTTTCGTTGCATAAGACTAAACTGAAACAGTTAATTGGATCTATTTGTCCTTCTACTGCATTGCAGATGGAAGGATTCAGTAAAAAAACACCTGGTGCATTTTTCAAAATACCCACACCATAAAATACCATAAATATTTCAAAATAGTGTTCAATCCCCTCCAGCGTATTTGCGCTGCAGTTAAGATCAAAGGCATCAACATTCGAACATTTTCGAAAATTGTTACAACAGCGTCGAAATACATAACGCTGTACATTGACCTTTTAAGGCAAATTCGGTGATTTCGCTTTTGATGGAAGTCATGCTAGAACGGGTTTCTCGTGTCCTTTAGAAAGAGGATTGGTAGAGAATTCGTGCACTTAGGTTACTAGAAAATCATGAATTTGTTGTATACTTAAAGGTAGTTACATAATTTGGCTCAAATCAAAAGTCATATTTTTAAAAAACCTGATCACAAAAAGAAAGCGTCACGTGTAAAGTTTTTCCTGAAATATTTTTAAATGTGATTTTTCTACGTTTTACTAATGAAATTTTATCGAAAACCAACCCAATTGGATACGCTTTTACAGAATCAAAAAATTATTTTTAAAGCATTTAAGTTCATGTACTCCTTTACTTTCCTTTATCACATCTAAAGCAAGGTAGTTACTTCAAGCGAGAAATCTCCGCGCTTACTAGGAGACTTCTGTCGATAAACCAGTCAAACACTAGGTTATTTTAAATTTTCTAACTATTTGAATAACAAAATTCAATTTTTTTCATAAAGTTTTAGTATACTAAAACTTAAATTTCGAAATCTGAAATACTTTAGTTTTTGAATCAAAATATAAAAATAGTTTGTACTCTTTCTGCCATATTTATTTCTATTACAATGCATTATTCTATTATTTTTTGATATTTATAATATTTGTTTATTTATTAGTGAATTCGATGCTTATTTACGGTACACATTGTTGCCTATGCGATTCAAAAAAAGCAGTGAGTCGATAGCTATTGTTGTCTCTGGAAAGAAAATACGCTAGAATTTAACTTAATTTTTACTACTTTAGATTCCTTAAAAAAGACTAATAATATAAGCAAAGCACTAAAACTGAACCTTGAATTAAAATTCTACTGATACGGTTGATTTTTATGCGATTTGACATTGCCTTCAAAATGAGTAAGAAGCTTCAAGAAGTTTCCGACATTCTCCTTTTTTCGAGCAATTGCTACTATCAAAAAACGATTTTTTTTAGAAAGTTGCCAAAAAATTTCCAAGTTTTGGGGAATATCGAATTACGTTTTCCTACCGATAGAATGATTTCAGTGGGTAGTACACCCATGCGAAAGAGTTCAGTAGAAGAGAATATTCAGTAGATTTGAGGAATCGACTATAATGTGCAATGATAAGTCAAAAAAATACTTAGGAAAAACGTAAAGTGGCGTGACTAATGTAAGAATCTTGCATTAAATCGTAGAAAAAGCTATATCTGAGAAAACGCGAAGCCAAGATCTCAGTTTACGTCCTTAAGTGCAATTAAGTACTGCAAGCAGTATATTCGAAATGGATAACGCACTCCATTCAATAAAAACGTGCTCTATTGTTGTGTCGCTTTTACCTTTATACCTTTTCCCCCATTGTTCGGCACATTCAACTTACATGTGTAAAGGAAATAAGATGAAACTTTAGGCATTTTAACATTTATCTCTTGAAAAGTGGAACGGAACTTCCGTCCCACATCTTTCACAAACTGAAATTTATTTGTTCAGATTGAG